GTATGTTCTCCTCTCTTCATTCTGTTTGTCAGTATGTTGTTCTCTCTTCATTCTGTTTGTCAGTATGTTGTTCTCTCTTCATTCTGTTTGTCAGTATGTTGTTCTCTCTTCATTCTGTTTGTCAGTATGTTGTCTCTCTCTTCATTCTGTTTGTCAGTATGTTGTTCTCTCTTCATTCTGTTTGTCAGTATGTTGTTCTCTCTTCATTCTGTTTGTCAGTATGTTGTTCTCTCTTCATTCTGTTTGTCAGTATGTTGTTCTCTCTCTTCATTCTGTTTGTCAGTATGTTGTTCTCTCTTCATTCTGTTTGTCAGTATGTTGTTTCTCTCTTCATTCTGTTTGTCAGTATGTTGTTCTCTCTCTTCATTCTGTTTGTCAGTATGTTGTTCTCTCTTCATTCTGTTTGTCAGTATGTTGTTCTCTCTTCATTCTGTTTGTCAGTATGTTGTTCTCTCTTCATTCTGTTTGTCAGTATGTTGTTCTCTCTTCATTCTGTTTGTCAGTATGTTGTTCTCTCTTCATTCTGTTTGTCAGTATGTTGTTCTCTCTTCATTCTGTTTGTCAGTATGTTGTTCTCTCTTCATTCTGTTTGTCAGTATGTTTCTCTCTCTTCATTCTGTTTGTCAGTATGTTGTTCTCTCTTCATTCTGTTTGTCAGTATGTTCTCTCTCTTCATTCTGTTTGTCAGTATGTTGTTCTCTCTCTTCATTCTGTTTGTCAGTATGTTGTTCTCTCTCTTCATTCTGTTTGTCAGTATGTTCTTCTCTCTTCATTCTGTTTGTCAGTATGTTCTCTCTCTTCATTCTGTTTGTCAGTATGTTGTTCTCTCTTCATTCTGTTTGTCAGTATGTGTTCTCTCTTCATTCTGTTTGTCAGTATGTTCTCTCTCTTCATTCTGTTTGTCAGTATGTTGTTCTCTCTCTTCATTCTGTTTGTCAGTATGTTGTTCTCTCTCTTCATTCTGTTTGTCAGTATGTTCTTCTCTCTTCATTCTGTTTGTCAGTATGTTGTTCTCCTCTCTTCATTCTGTTTGTCAGTATGTTGTTCTTCTCTCTTCATTCTGTTTGTCAGTATGTTGTTCTCTCTTCATTCTGTTTGTCAGTATGTTCTTCTCTCTTCATTCTGTTTGTCAGTATGTTGTTCTCTCTTCATTCTGTTTGTCAGTATGTTGTTCTCTCTTCATTCTGTTTGTCAGTATGTTGTTCTCTCTTCATTCTGTTTGTCAGTATGTTGTTCTCTCTTCATTCTGTTTGTCAGTATGTTGTTCTCTCTCTTCATTCTGTTTGTCAGTATGTTGTTCTCTCTTCATTCTGTTTGTCAGTATGTTCTTCTCTCTTCATTCTGTTTGTCAGTATGTTGTTCTCTCTTCATTCTGTTTGTCAGTATGTTGTTCTCTCTTCATTCTGTTTGTCAGTATGTTTTTCTCTCTTCATTCTGTTTGTCAGTATGTTGTTCTCTCTTCATTCTGTTTGTCAGTATGTTCTTCTCTCTTCATTCTGTTTGTCAGTATGTTGTTCTCTCTTCATTCTGTTTGTCAGTATGTTGTTCTCTCTTCATTCTGTTTGTCAGTATGTTGTTCTCTCTCTTCATTCTGTTTGTCAGTATGTTGTTCTCTCTCTTCATTCTGTTTGTCAGTATGTTGTTCTCTCTCTTCATTCTGTTTGTCAGTATGTTGTTCTTCTCTCTTCATTCTGTTTGTCAGTATGTTGTTCTCTCTCTTCATTCTGTTTGTCAGTATGTTGTTCTCTCTCTTCATTCTGTTTGTCAGTATGTTGTTTCTCTCTTCATTCTGTTTGTCAGTATGTTGTTCTCTCTTCATTCTGTTTGTCAGTATGTTGTTCTCTCTTCATTCTGTTTGTCAGTATGTTGTCTCTCTCTTCATTCTGTTTGTCAGTATGTTGTTCTCTCTCTTCATTCTGTTTGTCAGTATGTTCTCTCTCTTCATTCTGTTTGTCAGTATGTTGTTCTCTCTTCATTCTGTTTGTCAGTATGTTGTTCTCTCTCTTCATTCTGTTTGTCAGTATGTTGTTCTCTCTTCATTCTGTTTGTCAGTATGTTGTCTCTCTCTTCATTCTGTTTGTCAGTATGTTGTTCTCTCTTCATTCTGTTTGTCAGTATGTTGTTCTCTCTTCATTCTGTTTGTCAGTATGTTGTTCTCTCTTCATTCTGTTTGTCAGTATGTTGTTCTCTCTCTTCATTCTGTTTGTCAGTATGTTCTCTCTCTTCATTCTGTTTGTCAGTATGTTGTTCTCTCTTCATTCTGTTTGTCAGTATGTTGTTCTCTCTTCATTCTGTTTGTCAGTATGTTTCTCTCTCTTCATTCTGTTTGTCAGTATGTTCTCTCTCTTCATTCTGTTTGTCAGTATGTTGTTCTCTCTCTTCATTCTGTTTGTCAGTATGTTGTTCTCTCTCTTCATTCTGTTTGTCAGTATTTGTTCTCTCTTCATTCTGTTTGTCAGTATGTTGTTCTCTCTTCATTCTGTTTGTCAGTATGTTGTTCTCTCTCTTCATTCTGTTTGTCAGTATGTTCTTCTCTCTTCATTCTGTTTGTCAGTATGTTGTTCTCTCTCTTCATTCTGTTTGTCAGTATGTTGTTCTCTCTCTTCATTCTGTTTGTCAGTATGTTGTTCTCTCTCTTCATTCTGTTTGTCAGTATGTTCTCCTCTCTTCATTCTGTTTGTCAGTATGTTCTCTCTCTTCATTCTGTTTGTCAGTATGTTCTCTCTCTTCATTCTGTTTGTCAGTATGTTTTCTCTCTTCATTCTGTTTGTCAGTATGTTCTCTCTCTTCATTCTGTTTGTCAGTATGTTTCTTCTCTCTTCATTCTGTTTGTCAGTATGTTCTCCTCTCTTCATTCTGTTTGTCAGTATGTTGTTTCTCTCTTCATTCTGTTTGTCAGTATGTTTCTCTCTTCATTCTGTTTGTCAGTATGTTTCTCTCTTCATTCTGTTTGTCAGTATGTTTCTCTCTTCATTCTGTTTGTCAGTATGTTCTCTCTTCATTCTGTTTGTCAGTATGTTTTCTCTCTTCATTCTGTTTGTCAGTATGTTTTCTCTCTTCATTCTGTTTGTCAGTATGTTGTTCTCTCTCTTCATTCTGTTTGTCAGTATGTTCTCTCTCTTCATTCTGTTTGTCAGTATGTTGTTCTCTCTCTTCATTCTGTTTGTCAGTATGTTCTTCTCTCTTCATTCTGTTTGTCAGTATGTTCTCTCTCTTCATTCTGTTTGTCAGTATGTTGTTCTCTCTTCATTCTGTTTGTCAGTATGTTCTCTCTCTTCATTCTGTTTGTCAGTATGTTGTTCTCCTCTCTTCATTCTGTTTGTCAGTATGTTCTCCTCTCTTCATTCTGTTTGTCAGTATGTTCTCCTCTCTTCATTCTGTTTGTCAGTATGTTCTCTCTCTTCATTCTGTTTGTCAGTATGTTGTTCTCTCTTCATTCTGTTTGTCAGTATGTTCTCCTCTCTTCATTCTGTTTGTCAGTATGTTGTTCTCTCTCTTCATTCTGTTTGTCAGTATGTTGTTCTCTCTTCATTCTGTTTGTCAGTATGTTGTTCTTCTCTCTTCATTCTGTTTGTCAGTATGTTCTCCTCTCTTCATTCTGTTTGTCAGTATGTTGTTCTCTCTTCATTCTGTTTGTCAGTATGTTGTTCTCTCTTCATTCTGTTTGTCAGTATGTTCTTCTCTCTTCATTCTGTTTGTCAGTATGTTGTTCTCTCTTCATTCTGTTTGTCAGTATGTTCTCTCTCTTCATTCTGTTTGTCAGTATGTTCTTCTCTCTTCATTCTGTTTGTCAGTATGTTCTTCTCTCTTCATTCTGTTTGTCAGTATGTTCTCCTCTCTTCATTCTGTTTGTCAGTATGTTCTTCTCTCTTCATTCTGTTTGTCAGTATGTTCTCTCTCTTCATTCTGTTTGTCAGTATGTTGTTCTCTCTCTTCATTCTGTTTGTCAGTATGTTCTCCTCTCTTCATTCTGTTTGTCAGTATGTTCTCCTCTCTTCATTCTGTTTGTCAGTATGTTGTTCTCCTCTCTTCATTCTGTTTGTCAGTATGTTCTCCTCTCTTCATTCTGTTTGTCAGTATGTTGTTCTCTCTCTTCATTCTGTTTGTCAGTATGTTTTCTCTCTCTCTTCATTCTGTTTGTCAGTATGTTGTTCTCCTCTCTTCATTCTGTTTGTCAGTATTTCTCTCTCTTCATTCTGTTTGTCAGTATGTTGTTCTCTCTCTTCATTCTGTTTGTCAGTATGTTCTCTCTCTTCATTCTGTTTGTCAGTATGTTGTTCTCTCTCTTCATTCTGTTTGTCAGTATGTTCTCCTCTCTTCATTCTGTTTGTCAGTATGTTCTTCTCTCTTCATTCTGTTTGTCAGTATGTTGTTCTCTCTTCATTCTGTTTGTCAGTATGTTGTTCTCTCTTCATTCTGTTTGTCAGTATGTTGTTCTCTCTTCATTCTGTTTGTCAGTATGTTGTTCTCTCTCTTCATTCTGTTTGTCAGTATGTTCTCTCTCTTCATTCTGTTTGTCAGTATGTTGTTCTCTCTTCATTCTGTTTGTCAGTATGTTGTTCTCTCTTCATTCTGTTTGTCAGTATGTTGTTCTCTCTTCATTCTGTTTGTCAGTATGTTGTTCTCTCTTCATTCTGTTTGTCAGTATGTTGTTCTCCTCTCTTCATTCTGTTTGTCAGTATGTTGTTCTCTCTTCATTCTGTTTGTCAGTATGTTGTTCTCTCTTCATTCTGTTTGTCAGTATGTTGTTCTCTCTTCATTCTGTTTGTCAGTATGTTGTTCTCTCTTCATTCTGTTTGTCAGTATGTTGTTCTCTCTCTTCATTCTGTTTGTCAGTATGTTGTTCTCTCTTCATTCTGTTTGTCAGTATGTTCTCCTCTCTTCATTCTGTTTGTCAGTATGTTGTTCTCCTCTCTTCATTCTGTTTGTCAGTATGTTGTTCTCCTCTCTTCATTCTGTTTGTCAGTATGTTGTTCTCTCTTCATTCTGTTTGTCAGTATGTTGTTCTCCTCTCTTCATTATGTCCTCCTGTAAATATCTGATATTATCCGGAGTGCAGATGTGAAAACGTCTTCTGACTTTGTGCAGAATAAAGACGAGGAGGCTGGAGGAGAAACCTTCAGATGTTTGTGTTCATGAAGCTCAGAGTGAGAAACTTCAGGAGGTTGTCTGTGTTTCAGATTAAACACTAAAGTTCAGTCTCTTTCATAAAACATCTTTTTTAAATTCATTGAAATCTCTTCAGTGTGACGACAAACTGTAAAAACTAACAAACATGAAACATCTGCTGAGGACTCACCTTTACCTGCACGCCATCCCACTATGCTGTGTCATAACCCCGCCCCCTGCCATAACTCCGCCCCCTGTCATAAGTCTGGCCCCCCTTTGGGAATCACTGCAGTAAGCCATTCAAAACACACACATCTGTATTCCTGTTGGATTTGCTGTCTGACAGGTGAACAGGTGTGACCTCTTGTCTCCGGCGCCGGGTCCCGAGGGCAGCTGGAGGTACAGGTACAGCTTGTCGTTGTCGGAGAAACGCTGAACTTCTTGCTATTTGAAGAGGAACAGAAAGAGGGGAGGAACTTCTTTAAAGAATCTGCAGACCGTAAAAGGATAGAAATATGGATAAAAGAAGCGGTTTGGTTCTTACCAGGATCTGATCCACTTTGGTCTGAACACTCTTCCTGTGGACGGAGAACGCCGCAGTCAGAGAGACAGAAACATCTTCAAACAGTTTTCAACATCAGTACAAAGAAATCATCAAATTGACACAAGAGCTTTGGTTTACGTTCCCACACTTCTGGAATAAATCTGAATTCAGCAGCAGAAGGTTAGGGGCTGAGGGGAGAGGGAATCCCACTGTTGCTAGGGACAACCCCGAAAGTTGCAGTGACAGCGTCAACATGTGGCCTAAAGGGGGTCTGGTGGGGTCTGGTGGGGTCTGGTGGAGTACAGCTGGGTTCTGCTCCGGGGGACATCCG